AATATTATTACAATTAGTGTACCCCCCCCAAAAAAAAATTGCATGTAGTGCACATGCATGGTTTACTTAAATTAGATTCCTATAATTTAACTAAAAACATATAAAAAAGTATAATCAACCAAAAGTCCACTAAAGAAAAAAAAATGTCGTTCATTTATCTTAATCAAAGATTATTTGATTTCCTTTGACACTACGTATATTAAATTAAAAGTTGCTATATATAATTACTTCAAAACATGGCAATGACATGGAAATATTAATTGCACGCGAATAATATGCATCATCCTCTTCTCACTCCAATGTTTCCAACACCCACGAGTCGATGTCTTTCGATGTAATATTGCAATAAGTGAGTTTGTGTGTGTAACTTAGTTGATAGAGAGGAAACAAAAAACAAAAGTAAGAATGTGTGTGTGTGTGTGTGAGAGAGAGAGAGAGAGAGAGAGATGCTTTTCCTGTCAGTGTTCCATGTCTTAATCTGCGAGAGTCCTTTTCTCATTATAACCCCACCACACACAATATATGCACAACTCAACTCTATCTTCATTTATATGTCATTTTTTATATGCCAATAACTGTTTGTATGTATATATATTCAAATCCAACTATATATTATATATTCATGGTCTCTGAGTCGTGTGATAATTAGACTGTTAAATTAAAGTTAATATAACTAGATGTTATATATTTTCATCTAAAGGCATCAATGAACTCAGAGCATTTTTATGACGGGGAGAAGATCGATCGAGTTATAATTATATGAAACATGAAAATTTTTCCTTTTTTATATGATTAAGAATTCACTGTCATTATTTAAAAACGTTTACTTTAATTTCCAGGATTCGATAACTAGGGCGAGTAAATGAGGATGAATAACTAGTTTGGTTGAAGTCTATTACTTCTCACTACTCCTTATTTTGTCCAAAAAATAGGACAACGTGTTATATTAACAATTTTTCTTCTCACCTAATCTCTTTACTCATTTTTACAATTATGCATTAGTTATACTAATAATTATTAGAGATTATCTTCAATGGCCAGTCTTCAAAGTGTTTCAAAGAATTCATTGCAATTTTTGACAACCATACAACAAATAAAGGTATACGAAAGAACTGATATTTTTGAGTTATTGGTTAGAGATACACTAACCAACTTTTTTAGACAAGAATGAGTATAACAAGACACGACAATATTTATATATTAATATTTCTTTTCATGATGTTTTTGGAGTCACCAATATAAGAAGTTATTGTGATGTACCAAATCCTCTTAGATTGAACTAATTCATAAGAGAATTTGATACAATTAATAAAAGAGAGAGCTTTCATTAGAGAGATTGGTTAAAGAATTGCTATCAATGCAGAAACCAAAGGTATTCTGCTTCTATCAATGCTCTTCAGTTCAACATCATCGGTCTCTTTCATCCAAGACTGCATGAACTGAACCTCCCAACTCTTCACTTCTATGATACTGTATACGAGATATGTTGAACATGCATCTGGCATTTAAAAATATTTTTTTAAGTTTATTGAATATCTTAAAATATTTTATGATATATCTAATAGCCTGAAATATTTTTTTTAGATGTGTCCAACACTCTAAAGTAATTTTTAGTTTTATACTTACTAATTTGGAGTATTGGTTGCACCAAAACATAATGAAGGGTGCTAGACATACTTAAAAAAATTTTAGGATATTGAATGCATCATAAAATACTTTAAGACACTAAATAGATCTCAAAAGATATTTTAAGATGTTAGATACACCTTAACCCTATAATATGTGTGTGTGTGTGTGGGGAAATCGAGAAAATATATACATGCGAACTGATAAACAACAAAATTGATGTATAAGAATTTATGTATATGAAATTAATTCACTTTCTTGAATTATCCTTATGAACTCCTTATTAATTCTAAAGTTGTTCTCACAGAATGCCTTGAAAGAAGTCCAATTAATCGCTAAAAGTTTTACTCAGGGCCAAGTTGTTTAAGATTATAAAATAAAAAGAAAACGAGTGATTTTGATTAAGTTAAGGCAGGGAAAGTTGTTGGAATTACGAGGAAGTTGATAGAAGGATGGAAAATTATTAGGAGAATTTCTAAGTAATTAATAATAAAGATTTTGTTGAAAAAATGTTTTCAGCTTATTTTAATAATCTATTTATCAAAATAAGCCGTAAACGTAATATTTTTTTCCAAAGACATCCCTCACCTCTCATGTTCTCAACAACTTCATGTTTTTTGTTTAATTTGATTAGAATCACTTTTTTAAATAATCTTAATCAAACTGATTTTAATAGGATTTATGTAAATACTTCCCCTTTTAATTACTTCTTATCTATTCTCTTCAACTTAAAATATTATGCATGGGATTGAAATTCAAGTACAAATGTTGTCAACTAAATTTCAGTTGTCTCTCCCCCCTTAGTCCCTTCATTTTTCTGATTCAAACATATCCTAAAGAATAATTTCTAGTACTTAAATATTAAATGTTTGTGGCCCCAAATTAATAAATACTGATGACAAAGTTCTTAATATTGTCACACACACACACACACACAAACTTTTCTTCCGTTTAAAGTCTCTTTTTCTTATTACCTTTCATATTTTTTCAGTGTTTTAAACTTTCCCAACACAAGAAATTTGACTTTATAGGGAAAATCTTCAAACGATTAAAATTAATTAAGTTTTCAACTTTTTTTAATTAATTTTGATCATTTTTTTAGTTTTAAAAAAAATTCTAGACAAGTAAATTCTACAAATAAATTAAATCAGCTAATAGTGAATACAATTCATTCCATATTTTGTAAAAAATATCGAAGTAGGCCATCCGGGTTTGATTTTTCAAATGAGAACTAATTAGTAAGATCAAGGTTAATTAAAGTCAACCACGAAAGTGTTATGATTAGATTTGTGAACAGGAAGAGAAGAAGAATAATAATAATGTTGTCTAGTTGAATGGAAGAAATATTATTGCCGACTAAGATCATAATCAAGAGAGGAGGTGGCAGCATGAGTAATACAATTTCGTGGTTGGAAAAGTTATAAGCAAAGTAGCTCATTACTAGCCATCCTATATTATTTATTTATTTATTTATTGTATGTGATGTGTTTTTCATTCTTATGCAAGATTTAATAATTGAGTAATTATATATAAGTCCTGTGGGTCCCCTTTTTACCTGGGTCCCACCGAAATTTCACCCCTAGCAAATCACTGTAACATCAACTTAACTCGGTCCTAATTCCCATCAAATTCATTAATTGTTCATTGCCTTCATTGGTTCTTCTAATCCTTTGATTATGTTTTATGCATACAGTAAACATGGTAATATACACTCAAATCTTAAACGTAGGAGTTCAGATATTTACTTTAATTCTAAATATAAAATTTTATTCTATTTTATTTTTTAAGTTTATAATGTCTTCTTAGATTATTATTTATATTGATTGTACATATTAAAGAATGATTTCTATCTATGGAGCGTGTTTCAATGTAATTAATTAAAAATGGTATTTTAAAGAATTATCAGTTAATCAAAATTTTTAAAAATAACTAACTAAATTAATTTTTTTAATATTTATAAATCTAGCTCATGCATTTAGAATTGAAGGAATCACCATTTGATCAAATTCAACCATATAATTGTGATTTGAGAGCTGTATTAGGAATAACTCCTTAATTTTATGAAGTTTTGACCCACATCAATTTTGTTGCATACTTTTATTGATAAACACAATTTTTTCATTATATAGGCAAATTCTTGTATTGCACATGAAAGTGTTAGGGGTGAAAAACAAAGTTGCCATTGAATGGAAGATTACTAAATTAAAATAAAAATATATGAGAATGAATTAATATTAATAATCATGAATAAGGCTAGGGGACCCCCCAAGAGGGTGGGTCACACCAGTTCAATTGGTCCATGACCAAGCTCATACTCATGTTTGCCACGTGTATTGCTGCCGGTGCATGATATCAGCATGAAGTGTGATGCATCATGCTCCCACATTCCGAATTTTCTTTCATTTTTCCTCAAAACATATATTAAAAAAAAGAGGGAATTACCACCATCTTCATAATTTAATACACAAGCGAGATGAAATTATAATAATAAAAATATTTAATAATATAAAAATAAGAAATTAATTATGATTTTATAGATATAAATTCATTTGGTAATAACTATAACAATATAATAAATAATTTAATATATTTTTTTGTACGCCACGAAAATACATTTTTTCACAATTCACATTAATGAAGCCTAAGCCTTTGGGTAGGTGTTAAATTCATAACCTTGTCAATTAAATTTTAATTTCAAATAAAAAAATTAAAATTAAAATCTTGACTTTTACTATACAATTTAAGAGTCCATAGCTATTTATAAAAACGTTATAGTCTTTGATGAAAAAAATCCCACTCATTATCAAACTTGGAGACATTCCAAAGTTCAACTCATTATAGTGTGTGTGTAGAGAGAGAGGGAGGGTGAGAGATATCTCAGTTTTCTCAAAGTTTTAGAATATATATAACATAATATTACTTAAATAGCCCAAAAGCCTAGACAAGATCTAAGAATGTCTTCCCCAATAGCCAATATGTCAAAAACAACATTAAAAAGTCAGAAGACCAAGCTGATTAATAATAATAAACACATATTATTATATTAGGAAAAAGTCATTTTTGACATATGCACTACTCATATAATTATAACTAAATAGTTAATCAAATTTGCTTTGGAAAGAAATTTCTCAAACAACATGCATGGATATATATATATATATATATTATACAAGTGAAATTAAAGAAGAAAAAAAACACTTGTAAAGGAATTGGGTATGCCACCCTAGCTTTAATTTCTGCCACCAGCTAGCCGCTCCCTCCAACACACACTTTAGGAGATTGATCCCGTTTTGTTTGCTTTGTTTGTTGGGACTATCTATCAATCTCTCTCTATATATACATATCAGGTTCCGTTAGATATCAGCCGCCTCCCCCTCTTGCTTCCTACCTTCAATTCCTCTGTGCTTCTTAATTTGCGTCTCTGATATACGTACGTTATATCCATCCATCAGATTCAACACCACCTTCACTTTCACGCCATCTCTCTCTCTCTCTCTCTCTCTGATCTTCTATAAATTCAAACCTTATATTCCTTCTCACCCATCTTCATCTTCCATTTTTGCTCTTTTTCCCCTCTCTCACTCTGATATCGCTTCTAGCTCTCACTCTTCCTCTTCTTCTAGGTCTTTTCAAGCTGCTATAAGCTTCTTTTTAATATACATATATGGGAGATCCAGAGCATCACAGGAATGTCAATCTTCCTCCTGGGTTTCGCTTTTATCCTTCAGATGAAGAGCTCGTTGTCCACTTCCTTCACAGAAAAGCTTCCCTCTTGCCTTGCCACCCAGATGTCATCCCTGATCTTGACCTCTTCCCCTATGATCCTTGGGACCTCCATGGTATGTGTGCTTATATAGATATCCTATTTTCTCAGTTGGCTCCCTACTAATCTGTTCAACTATTATTGATGACATGGGTGTTATAGGAATGCAAACTATTATACAGCCAAGTCAATAAGTCGCAAGCTTTGGTTTTGCATCTAAGTGAGGGATTAAATTGAAAGAGAGAATGTGGGGGGATGAGGTCAAGTTGAGAATATTTTCCTTTTCCGTGTGAGTAGCAGAAATAGAGCAATGAAGTATTGAGGGTGTTTGATGATTTTTGCAGGCAAGGCTTTAGGTGAAGGCAATCAATGGTACTACTTCAGCAGAAGGACGCAGAATAGGGTCACTAATAATGGCTATTGGAAACCAATGGGAATGGAAGAGCCAATAGTTACAAGCTCAGGAAGTAACCTTGTTGGAGTGAAGAAATATTTCATGTTCTTCATGGGAGAAGCTCCTTCTGGTATCAAAACCAATTGGATAATGCAGGAATATCGTCTATCTGATTCTTCTTCTTCCTCCTCCTCCTCTTCTTCCTCTAGCAGATCCTCAAGGAGAAAATCTAAAACAGTAAGCACAACACACACACACACACGAATAGTACAAGTCACCAAGATTCTCACAGTTCAGATTATATAATTGAAGTCTCTGATCATTCTGATATGTAAGTGTTCTTGGGTTTTCAGGATTACTGTAAATGGGTGATCTGTCGAGTTTACGAGCGTGACGACGATGATAATGATGGAGGAACTGAGCTGTCTTGTTTGGATGAAGTTTTCTTGTCACTGGATGATCTTGATGAAATCAGCCTTCCCCATTAAATTAGCCAGGCTAGCTTTAGCTGCATTGTGCAAATGCATCATAATTACCTTTTCTTCCCTCCACTTCTCCCAAAAAAAAAAAAAAAAAGGAAAAAAAGAAATATCATATATAGCAGATAGCTTGTTCCCAACTTAATTGCAAGACTACTTACTGCAGTCACTAGACACTTATCAACAAGGAAAAAAAAGTTCACTTAATATTCATGATCCAACTTTTTTTGACTATTCTTGCATCTAATTAAATTTTCTTATCACAATCTATCGATATATAGTTACTAATTAATTCCTCTACATATATATGTAGTTAATAAATTAAATCCAATATATATAAATGGCTGCCGTATATTAATATTGCAATCATCAGTGAAGGCTGCTATAGAGGTGTAATAGGGGATTTGAAGTGGGGCACTAAGTGTGAAATCTACGGACAAAAGCGAAATGTGCAGGGTGACGTTATGCCTTTGAAAGATCCCACATTGAGGTTTCTTTGGAAATTTTCTTTTGTACATATCATCATCAAGTGGGATGCTCATAGCCACTAACACACACACATGAGAGAAAATAATGCAGCCAAAGGGATCATCATCATGGCTAATATCCTTCGTTATCAGCAGCATTTCTTTCTTTCTCCTGTTGCTGCATGAACCTTTGATTCAATTGGATAAATGCAATACTACTATATGCAAATAAAATCTTATCATAACACTACTAAATAAGCAATAATCATAAAACTGCCGCAATTGTGACAACCACTAAATTTGTATTCGATATTTTTAAAAGAATATTTGATATCTAATGATCAGGTTAGATTTGAATGTTCTCAGCTTCAAATAAGAGTAGCTCTCCCTAATACCTTTTTTTTTTTTTTTTGCATTCACATGAATTTAAATTCGAGATCTTATCAAAACCTTTTGACCAATCCCTATTGGTATATTTATATTCAAATTTATTATTTTTATTTTGTTTTAGGTTAAAAAAAGTGATTTCAGTTAGGCTAAATATGAGAAAAGTACAAAACTTTTAAGTGTTAACTAAAATCACTTTTTTCTTAAATTAAAAAAAAAGCCCTCAATCTCTTCATAATGAGTTCCCATCAATTATCAATTATTGTATTAAAAAACAAGATACTACTAGTATTATTGTACTTAGCTATTGATGAACTTTTCCTATATAATGTATTCTATGCATTAATTGCATTAAATCTAAAATAGTTTGCACTATTTATGACTCAATAATAATAACTTGATAATAAGGGCTAAAGGGGTATTTTATTCTTGAACTATTTTCTTAAAGGGCATTGGGTATCCAGAACTATCAAGTGAGACAATATTGTCTCGATAAGCATCGGTTATTTTAACAGTTATTTGATAGAGAAAATATCGAAAAATATCAAAGAAAATTACAAAAAAGTACCCCAAAAAAGTTAAAACCAATTGAGTTATAAAAGTTACAAATAATGCCCATAGGCTAATGTTATTTCTTACCAATGAAAAAGGATAAAATCCTATTTTAACCAACCATTTTGACTGATTGGTAGCTAGGGCTGTTCACGGGACGGATCGGGACCGGGACAGGCCCGTCCCGGTTCCGTCCCGATGAACAGTAACATGACAGATTTTCTGTCCCGTGTTCCGACCCGTCTCGGGGTTGTCCCGGTCTCGGTCGGGACGGGACCGAGACGTCCCGAACATTTTTTTTTTAAATTTTTTAATTTTTTAAAAAAATTTTAAAATTTTTTTAATAAAATATGAATTTTTTAATTATATTTTTTTGGGCTTAAACCTTATAAAAAACATCTTTTTATTTTTTTTATTTGTTTGGGCACTCTTAAACAAAAGCTCAAAATATTACATATAATAATCATTAAAAACTCTAAACAAAAGCTTTTAACACAATAAAAACTTACTAAAAATTCTAATAATCAATAATCTCATATCATTAACAAATATAAAAACTCTAAATAAATATATCTATAGTTCCATACAATAGTCTCAAATCTTAAAAAAATATGAAAAAAATGATATTATATAAATAGGATAAAAAATTAAAAAAATTAAAAAAATTAAAAAAATTAAAAAAATTAAAAAAATTAAAAGAAAAAAGAACCAGGACAGGACGACCCCGTCCCGTGTCCCATCCCGTCCCGGTTTGTCCCGTCCCGAAAAATTTCGGGACGGATCCGTCCCGTCCCAATAAGACCGGGACCGGAATGGGCCGACCGGGACGGGCCGGCCTTGAATACCCCTAGCCAGGTGAACAATTACTTTGTTGATGATAATGTTTGTAAGTTATTAAAAAAAATATTTTTATTATAATACTTGAAGTATTGATACTTTGAGATTTAATAACTTAAATATCAATATTATTTACAAATATTCACACACAATTTACAAGTCAAATTTTAAAATTCACAACCCTCCATAAGTTTACAACTTAACTAGTGTGTTTATTGTTTTATTTAACGTGTGATAATTTATAAATCATCCTCCAAAATTTAGAAGTCTCCCTTTAAAAATTTACAACTCAACTAATGTATCCAAGATTTGTAGGTGAATATGTATTTTTCACACAAATTAAAATGGTGTTATAAATTATAAGTTTTCTCTTAAAAAAATTTACAACTTAACTGATGTATTCAAGATTTTGTAATTAAATATGTTTTTATGTTGGCTAAGCTGTGAATTAAAATAATGTGATACTTTAATTACTTATCAGTGTTGTTTATCGACGATGGTGGTTCCATCATCACCTAATTAATAGCCAGTCAAATTAGTTAGTTAAAATGTTATTTTAGTTTTTTTAAAGGGTAAGAAATAATATTAGTCTCTTGACATTTATTTGTAATTGTTTATTTAATTGGTATTAAAGTTTTATAGAGTACTTGTTTATAATTTTTGGAAGCCTTTTCTGCAATTTTTTCATTCAACTATCTATCAAAATAATAGATGTTTAGCAAAAAAGGTAACATTGTTCTTCTTTTAATACTTCAATAGAGAATTGCATCACTTGATGATTTAAAATACTCAATGCTCTTGAGAGAATAACGTGAAAGTAAAAATACTCTCGAAACCCGTTAAAAATATGCTTCTTTTTATATACTCACACACATGCTATTTCTGATTCTTAATATAAGAATTAGTTGACTAATTTGAATATATTAGGAAAGTTTATTAAGTTAATTATTTATATGAAATAGATATTCTAACTAATCATGTGTATTACCTAGAACTATTGTTTGATAAAACATTTAATATATGTAATTATTATAATAATTATTTTGAAAAAATGGATAAATATGAGAAACGAAGTATATTAGAGTCCTATATTTAAGACCAAATTGAATGTCAAACTAGCTTTTATATTAAGAATTACGAATAGTTTATCTTGAAAAAATTGTTATTTCAAGCATTGGACAGTTTATCTTGCCACATAAATAGGATGTTTAAATTGATATGCACTTGAGGTGGGGTTTATTTAATTTCTTGAAGAAAGAGACCTAGAGAAGGGGGAAACTTGAGTTGCAAGTAGAAGAAGAGGATGATTCGTTGGTATACTTTCAAAGCATTGGGAGTGATCTCACGTGGAGGCATTGTGGATGCATATACGTTTGTGTGTATATATATTTATATGTATAGGGGAATATATATATAGAAAATATTATTATTAATTATAAATAAGTTCATGGAAACGTGAAGAGGAGATTGTGGAGCCCATTGAGCACTGTGAGAAGGGGGAAAGCTTTGAAACTGAGCATATTGTTGTGGCAATAATCCTATTAGCCTTTATAGCTTTTGCCCTACTGCTTTGATGGCTGTATTTGGTACTTGTCTTGTTTCACAATATATTGCTCTCCCCAATATTCTCGCTCCCTCTCTATTTTTTTTTATTTTCAATATTTTTTAAATTTTTTTACTAATTATTATTTTTTGGCTCATATATATCATTTATAAATTGGTGACTGCTTAGGGAAGCATCAAGTCATGTGTGATGCAAGCATATATATTGGCATGCTTTAGAAGCATCATCACAAGCACTATATATTGTAATTTTTTATTTATATGCTTATGTTTGTCACAACATGGTAATATCCACAAGGTGGTATTCATGTATATCCCACTTGAGCAGACAAGATAATGACCAAGCAATTAGTTTGTAATTTTAGGACAATATTATGTCCTTTTCTTTTTTAAGCTCTTGATTAATGGGGTGAACTTATATGATGGATTCCAAGTTAGAAGATTCCAAAAAATGGGGTTAATCATATGTGGATATCATTAGGGATGAATGATGATTAAATTAATTTTTTTTAATTTAAATGTCAATTGAAGCAAAAATATATATGGAGATGAATATTAATTATGGGCATTTGGTCGTGTAATATTTTTACCATGATTTGACACCATTGTTAATGATTGTCAGATATTTAGGCCATACTACATGAAATAACACTATTTTGAAGTTGCTTTCAGTTCTCCAACTTTAGTACATTTAATCATGCATTTGGGCCACTTACTTTTAGTTCCCTTTAATTAAGAAACACTAATATACATTTTTTTAAAACTTCAAAATAATGAAAGCTCAGATCAATAATCCACGTACAACATACATTTTCATGTAGGTTTCTAATCCTCACATAAATAAAATACTCCCTCTAATTAGTGGTAAATATAATAGTTAGTTACCGAATTTGTTTGAATTCTAAATATAATATTATAATCTTTTTTATCCCTCAAATTTATAATTTCCTCTCAAACTATCCTTTATTAATTGCTCATGTTAAAAAGAATTTTTCATTGATGGAGTAGATTAAATGTAAGTGATTAAAAAAGATATTGCTTTCGGTCCTTAATATAAAAGCTCGTTTGACTTTTATTTTGGTTTTAAATATAAAACCCTAATTTATTTTGCCCCTCATATTTATCCATTTTTTTCAAAGATGATTCTTGTAATAATAGTAGTTCTAACCAATACAATTGATTAGCAATAATATTTTTAAAAAAGTAACATATATTTATTATAAATAACTAACTTAATTAATTTTTTTAATATACTCAAATTAGTTAACTAGTTTTTATATTAAAGATTGGATGTAGTATTTTAAGAAAAATAACACGTACTTTTTTACAAATAAATAATTTAATTAGTTTTCTAAATATATATAAATAAGTTATTGGACTTGTGCATTTAGAATTAATCAGAAAGAGTATAATAAATATCGATGAAAATTAGTCTAGTCAGCAAAGATGTGACTTGTACCTTACAAGGGGCATGATTCAAATTCTATTATTAGTAGATGATCTGTCAATACTCATGTACGTAACTGCTTTCTGAATTTTAAGATTTGATTATCTATATAGGAAACTACTCTTTCAATTAAATTTTTTTAATATGAATAATTTAAAAAAAAATTATAAATTTAAAAGACAAAATAAAATTGAGATTTTATATTTAAAATTAAAAAAATCATATATTAATTTTTATATTTAGGATCGGACGGAATACTACTCTAATAAACAAATATTTTCTTGTTAGAGTTGAAATAAAAATAAAGAGAAATGAGATATAGGAAATGAGATCTGAAGGATATCAGAAACATATACACAATTTTTTATGGTATTAGCTTTTGAGGTAGACCAATGGGAACTATACTTGTGTTGGCATTGAGCACATTGTTTTCCTTCATGTTCACATTTACGATAATTACAATCACAAACTCATAAAGAAAATAATGTATCTGAAGTATAACCTTGTGTTTCAAGTCATAGGTTCACAACTATACAAGTAAGTAGAAATTCAATTATGAACCACCTTTTTATTAATCGCAAGTCACATGTCTCCTTTCCACCATGTAGGTTTCATTCATTGACCTCCAAAACCAATAAATAAATAAATAGAAAAGTAGGCTTGATGATAGACATGGATGAACAAGGCAATCCTTTATTGAGTTTATGAAAAAAGAAAACATAACTTAATAGTCAACAAGCATGTTGACATGTTTTTGCTTATTCCACAATATTATTAATTGATATATTTAATAAGTTTATTTACTCATAAAAATTTTATTTTTCATAAATAAGATTTATTTTTATTCATGAAAATGCATGTTAATTTTTTTATAATAAAAAATTTTAGGTGAGTTGGGTCTCGTGGTCTTACAAGGGCTAAGACATGCACAGATCGCTCATCAACAAGGTCTTCATATCAACAGTAAGATACAAACTTATGACCTTATGAATTATACGCCGATTTTTTATTCTTGTTGGTGTGAAAATGCATGTTAAATGTCAAAGCAATTGGTCAAAATTACCCTAAAATTTCTCACCTTTATTTGCACGTATTCAACCTCTTTCAATGAAAGAGTTATTCACATATTTAAGTCAGTGGAATATCTTGTATTATTAGAAACCAAAAGTCCAAAGAGATAATCCTCTGATTTGAATATTTATTCTATGTGCTCCTTTAATTAATCTTCAAATTGAAAACCCTAAATAATAATAATAATACTTGTAGCCAACCGTGGTTAAGTTGAAGGGAAAAGATTCGATTTCTCTCAAGTGAAAATGATAGTTTGAGCTTTAAATTTTTTTTTTTTGGGTAAAAACTTTGAGCTTTAATTTTTAGATCGAAAAAAATCATATTGAGGGACTTACTTTCAACTGAATTCAATAATACTTAAACGTAACCTAGTAATACCGAACACTACACAATATATAAAAAAAGTACTTCTATTTTAAACTTTTATTATTGAACCTTACCTTGCAATAGAATCCAACATCTGAAACTTCGTACTTGGTGAAAATTAAAATATAGAAATAAAAGGAAACGGGGTTTTGTCCTTATGCAAGGAAATCGATCTTGATTGGCCAAAAAGAAAAAAATGTTGGCCTGGGAGGCTCCATCTGCTTCATGGCTTTAAAAAGTGTGTGTGTTTATAATAATAGTATTTCATTGCTTAATCAGCTCGTAACCACTGAGCCTCCTAATCATCTCACTCGTGCTCCTCTTCGTTATTAACATTCCACATGCGCCTTAACATAATAAAGAGAGAGATAGAGATGGACAAACACAGACTCAGAGAGAGAGAGAGAGGTGCATGTGTTTTTCAGTGGCAACTTCAAAGCCACCAACAGCATCATTACCAGCAATACATTATTAGACTCTGTCCCTCTCAATCCCACATAATTAAATCTCACTACAGACCAAGTTTCATATGTGTTTGTGTGTATCATTCACACCCTTCAAAAATTGGGAAAACTGGATCAAGATATAATTTTGACCTCCAACAAGAGCTTGACAAATGACTGGATAATAAGAACTTTGGGGGAATTTCCCTACATGACCTGTTAACTCCATCAGAAATACCCAAAAGAGAAGTGTCTAACTGCTATCCATATATGACAGTAACAGAAACTACATGCTTCTTGTTTGGACATGGCAAAGCCGAAAATGCCAAATCAAATTGAAAGCTATAATGATTACACAGGTCATGAAACCATTTCCCAATGGGCCTAGTTTTTCTCAACTTGCTCACAAAGCTTTGGGTTGTTTGAAACAAAATTTATGTGTAAATAAAGACATAAAGGGAGCAGGCAGGTGTTTGACATGTACCCATCCCAACCCTCTTGACCTTCCTTGGCTTGCTTGTTTTCTAGGTATGATGATGGCTTCTTTTTCCCTTAAAAAAAGCATTGGCAAAAAGTTGCAACTAGCAGGCATGATTGTGAGGCCAATAACTATGTAGCTTTTGAGTGAAGTTAATTTATGCTAAAACCATTGATTCTTCTATCCATGCAACCATCAATAAGTCAACAGAAAAGTTCAAACTAAGTCAACCCCACTTCAAAAGATACACCCAAATGGCCAAGGAAAAGACAACTTGCCTCACAAGTGATGGAGTCCAAACAAATAGAAAACAATCCACGAGAGAGGACAAGATACTCTTGTGCTCTGCGCCAAAAGGATTTAATAAGAAAACTGAGGGCCACACACACACACACATGTATGTATGTAAGGTATGCATTAGACAACATTGATGAACCCTCCTTCAACAAAAAGAAAACTTGATGAACACTAAGTCGGATGGAGAATGCTTCCCCAAAAAACAGCCATTGAAGTAAGGAAACCAGCTCAATAAGTATTTCATAGAACATCTCATACTACTTAATATGGGACTATCCATCCCATACAACCTTGATTTTTAATCAGCTGGCTGCCATTAGAAAGGCAACATCCCAATCAGCTACTCTATGCAACAATTTACTTGTTTTCCTCACAAATAACCCTTTTAAACCAACCTCTAATACTGATATCAATAGATGGTTTTTTCAGTAGAGTGAATAACCCCAATAGGGAGCTGTTAATGTACTTTAAGTGCTCCCTCCATCCGTATTTGTAAGTCTTAAATTTCATATTAATTTTGTGCACAAATGCAAGTCTCAATTCAAAATTCTAGATGTAATTAATGAATTTTATCTAAAATACCCTTATAGCAAATTAAAATTACCACTGGATGCACTTTCCAGATAGGCATTTAATTAAGGGCATGTTCAGAAAGAAAAAGGTTAATACTTGCACATCACGGAGGTTTTAGTGTTTCCTTGGTTCGCGTGTTCAGATAAACTGAGACCTATATTTAGGGACGGAGGGAGTAACTCCTAAAACACCATATACTATTCAATAGGAGACTGGATTCCATGTTACCGTAGTCTCCGAATAAAAGTAAAGGTATAAGCTGTAAAACACGAACAAATGATTTCTTTTTTGGTATGATAAGAACTGCTGATATTTGTTTTTCTTTATTTATTTCTTTACGTATCAGCCATAATACTTAAGCATCCTATACACAGTTATTGTTGCTGTTGTTGTATATTATGTACAACATCTTGCTTGGACATGGCTGCTGCTGCTGCTGTTCTCTACTATGTTGTTTATAACATCTGATAAGAGAAGAAAAGGGTCAATTTAAATATTCTTCCAAAGCATATTATGTAGACTACTGAATGATGTAAGGGTGCCTACATACCTCCACTAATAAAATACTCTAGAATCCAGTCACTTTTCTATTGAAATACATTTTATTCTTCTTCAAGAGAAGACTGCTATAATAAGAAGACATGGGAAACTAAAAATTTAATATTGCTAACGTAAACATCAATTGTTTACAAGGTCTCATTAGGAGAAAATCCAAATTATAAATTCAAATCCCCAACTTCAAAGGAGCCTTTCATAAATATCGTATGAGGGAATTAAAAAAAAGAAGAGCCTTCTCAACAAAAATAAAAACTTGAGGAAAAAATTCCACGTTCTAAATTCAGATCCCCTCAACTCAAACAATCAGAATAGATGAAGAAACAAAACAAAAAACTATTATTTTAGATCATTTTAATGTTTACTCAAATTTAATTTCACCAAATTACAAAAAATATTAACAAGAGTTACAAAGCTCCAAGTATCTGATCTTACAGGCGAGATTGGTTGGCAACATGTATGAAGTTACTGTCGTAGTGAATTGAATTTACGAAATAATATTCACCATAAGGCATTGCATCATCAAAAACTGTGTCTTAACTTCTAGATGCTCAGTGATTATCCACTAGTTTGTATGCCTTTGCTAGTCCAAGTGAAGAAATATTAAGATCTGAGTAATGTTATACTAAAGAATATGACTCAGCAAAATCAGTGCTGTCTCTCAACTTTCAAGGATTGACTAACAACAAATTACACCAACTGTGAGAATCAGAAAAGATCACCTCAGATGACAGGAACCCAATGGTACCGAACAAGCTTTAATTATTATTATTTTTTTTTAAGGGTTGTGCACCACAAGGCCGATTATCTGCCCTCACCTAAAACTCAAATCTGAGGTCTTCCTTAAGAATTCCAAAATTTGTGCTTCTTGCCAACTCCTAGGATGGAGCTTCATCATGTTTTGTAGTTTCTATCACAAAATCATTATCTCTTAACATTTAGGCTTCAACTTAAATTTTTCTGTCTCATACTAGGGTAAATTAACAAGTCATGTGAGACTAGGGAAAAAGGTAAACCCGAGACAACAATGCACTTAGTTTTTAAAGTTGAAACTTTTAGTAGAAGTGACTATACCTTTGGTAGCACAGTACACTGTGATCTACTTCGTGCAGTATCAAAACCGTGAGAAGCAGCAGCAGCAATTGATGCTGAGAATCCAGCAGAAAGGTTCACAGTCAAAGGAGACAATGTTCCAATTTCTTCATTTGTCCTGAGCAAGCAAAACTTACTTTAACAAAAGACAATTAAACTTGCTTGACATTAGCCGGGTCCACTACTGGATTCCTTGATGGATATTCAAATACATCCAAGTATTCAAAAGCCACTAACCTCATTTGCAAATCAAATTTAAGAGTAAAGCTCACATGAAAAGTTCAATGAAACAAAGAAACCCCTGTATCAGTTTGAATGGCTTTGATTTTTATTTAAAAACTTGTAAAAATTTGCATTAGTGGTGTTTCCAGATTGCCAACTAGGCAAGAGCCAAACTTCAGAATAGTACCCTAATTCATAGTAGCAGATATCCAGCTATGCCAAATACGAGTCTTTGCAACCTTTCAGCCCATAAAAAGCTATGCTTGTACTATATGTATGATTTCTTAACCAAATTTATTCATGAATACCATAGTTATGCCCTAATTCATACAAATATATTTAGTATGCATGATGCCTACAAAGAAAAATAATCTAAAGAAAAATAATCTAATGCCATTTGTTGGCAAGATATCCACTTTGCACACGAGGACTCACAAGCAAGTCCAGATACTATTTGGATTCCTACCAGTTGGAAGCTTATGATAATCTAAGCAAATGGACCTCATACTCTATTTACTACTTCCTTTTTTGCGACTTCGCATGACATGTGATCAAAAGGTAAGAGTTAATGCCAGAAAATTGATAAACTGTGTTAGATATCATCTGTTATGGGGTGTTAAATATCATCAATTGTGATCTGACTTCTCGTAAATTAAGATTCTTCCACAAACCAAACAGAATACTGGGTACAATTTAAAGTGTCAAACTTAGGCAAAGCAGAAGGAAGAATTCTGTTTTGAAAAACTTAAAAGACAAAAACTCCAATGTCCAAAAAATGAACCTGGGCGGAGGATCCATTCCTGCAGCTTTCCAATCAAGCAGTGCTTGATGCAAGAATTGCCAGCTAGAAAAAAATACACCACCAAATACAGAATCTCGAGCAACACCAGAACGAATTCCTCTCCATAACGTCCCCCATCCTTCCAAAGATATAATGTCTGAAGGCCTCCTCACATGGCAAACTGAGGGTGGCTTCCCAGATCCAGTCATTGTCCATGGATATTCCAATAGAGCACCTGCTACGTTTGAACTTTTGGTTGTTAGGGTGGAAATGAGTCCAACATAATGGTTCAAAGACCTCTTGTCTGGATAACACCCATTAATTAATCTTGCAATTAGAGGTGCACCGGTTCCCTTTTCCAAAGCAAAGGTTGAGCGTGGCATGACAGAAGCAGAAGTGACCTGAGCACGAAGCTTGATGATTTCAAATGGAGAGCTTACAAGTGCCTCTGCAGCGCCAGCTACCATTCCAGCCATAAGGGCTTCAGATGCATACACAATTATCTTCCCGACCATCTGTTTAAAATGTATTTGTGACCACCGATGTCACTCAAAACAAGTTAGCGCAAATTGATCATATATGACAAATTAAGAACCCAGATAGATAGTGCTTGGGTAGAAAATCCTTGCTAAAGGCCCTGAGGTGACACAATTAACAAGGATATGTTACCACATTAAGAACAAGAAATGTCTCATCAAAGTGTGCATGAGCATAGAATATCTTCAATATATATATATATATATATATATATATATATAAAACTGTGCAACCTACGGCTGCTACAACTTGATGCTTGAATGGTTAAAGATATACAAATAATAAGGGCACGACATGGAAATGAGTCCAACATAATGGTTCAAAGACCTCTTGTCTGGATAACACCCATTAATTAATCTTGCAATTAGAGGTGCACCGGCTCCCTTTTCCAAAGCAAAGGTTGAGCGTGGCATGACAGAAGCAGAAGTGACCTGAGCACGAAGCTTGATGATTTCAAATGGAGAGCTTACAAGTGCCTCTGCAGCGCCAGCTACCATTCCAGCCATAAGGGCCTCAGATGCATATACATCATTATCTTCCCTTCCCGACCATCTGTTTAAAATGTATTTGTGACCACCGATGTCACTCAAAACAAGTTAGCGCAAATTGATCATATATGACAAATTAAGAACCCAGATAGATAGTGCTTGGGTAGAAAATCCTTGCTAAAGGCCCTGAGGTGACACAATTAACAAGGATATGTTACCACATTAAGAACAAGAAATGTCTCATCAAAGTGTGCATGAGCATAGAATATCTTCAATATAATATATATATATATATATATATATATAAAACTGTGCAACCTACGGCTGCTACAACTTGATGCTTGAATGGTTAAAGATATACAAATATAAGGGCACGACATATTCCTATAAAACAAAGCAGTGCTAACCTTTCCAATTGATATTTTCATTTAAAAAAAGATACCTTTATGAAAGGCAGTCAAGATTTCATAGACCCCGAACGTGTCCCTAAACCTAAAATCCTTCCTAATGCCAACCAGCGAAATCCGCTGTAAAGACCTGTAAAATCCAAAATAACCATAGTTCTCAGTTAAACATGAAAAGTTCAGATAAGAAAACGCGTTGTTTTGTAATCCAATTACGCACTATGCAATGATTCACCTCAGGGATAAAAATGAAAATATCCCATATGCAATTGAACCAAAGCAAATTAAGAATTAACTAAGTCATCCTTCTGTTCTTTTGTTTTATTTTTCTTATTTGGAAAAACCAGTATACCTGCACTTCCCGACAATGATTGTACTCTGATCAACCCCTGGGCAGCGGTCAACTCCTTACCAGAACTTGAACCAACCTTTGGATAAGAAGAGGTAAGTTCAAAAGAATTTTGTAATCATGGATCACCACAAAAGACAAATTACAACCTGTGAAATACTTTAATGGTATCCAAGGGATAAGTGAGGGCTGTTGCCAAAGCCACTGACCCAGCAGCAGCAATCCCATGAAGAGCAAAATTTGGTTCTTGGGCAAGTCACCCATCTGAACATAAATTTGTACAGTAAGTCACAAACGAAATTAGCTCTGCATCAACCCAAAGCAAAACTTGATAATATATACAAATTTCGAAATGAAAAATGAAATATTTTTATCTAAGGCAATAAAAATGGTGCAATGCATGCCAATCACCAATCGAATAAGAACTTGAGGTTCTACCTAAACATGAAGGATGAATGTCAATTTCAATCGACGCTTAAGTGTTCATCAGCTGAACCTCCTCAAGGCTCCCAAGTAACATGTCAAGTGCGAACTCAAACGGGACAAAAACTTACCTACTGGAACTGAAAAGCAGGACGAAGAAGGCGCCACTAGGCTGTCTTGCGTCGCCGTCGCAGGGGAAGACCACGCTACGGAGTGAGGAGAAGAACGAATCGCTTAAAGAAGAGGAAGGAGAACTGCTGGACTGAACTGGTGATGCCGCCGGGGCTTAGAGATCCATGGAGGCAATTCGACTGCAACATCCACACTTCGATTCCAATTTTTAGTTTATTTTTATTAAAAAAAAAGGTTTTTTTGGGGGAGAAAATGACACAAAGATATAGTTGAACTTAGAAATATCAAAATAGTCATTTGAATTTATAAAATCTCAATTTCATCACAAGTGATCAATTTGACATTTATAAATTTACTGAAATGACTATGTTGTCTTTTATTTCATTTATTATTTTTTAAAAAACCAAAGCCCCCTCACTAGCTGGTTGATTGCCGAAGCTCCGAGTCAGCAGTGACGGCTATCACTGGAGCTCTCGCGACCTACTAACCGTTATATTAAAGTTGTTAATAGCGTTGTAAAAGTTGTTAACTGTTATATTGTAGTTTAAAATTTTTTTAAAAAATTGTTTCTAACTGTCGAAGTTTTTGCGACTAATTGTCGGCCAGTCGTCAGAGCTCTGGTGACGACTGTGCTACCAGCACCGGAGCTCCAAAACCTGTAAAATAGTGAGGGTTTTGGCTTTTTTAAAAAATAAAAACTAAAAAGAAGAACAATATGGTCATTTTATAAATTTATAAATATCAAATGGTCGCTTGTGACAAAATTGGAATTTTACAAATTCAAATGATCATTTTAACATTTCTAAGTTTAGGCGTAATTTTTCTATCATTTTCCCTTCTTTTGGCCAAAAATAATACTCTCCGATCCTTAATATAAAACTCATATAACTAATTTGATTAGATTAAAAATTAGGTAAGTTACTTAATATATAAGAAAAGTACACATTTTTCCTAAAACATCATGATCATCTTTCTTAATACCCCATCTCCTCTTCTATTTGATTATAGTTGAAGGAGTATCTATAGGAGTAATTTAGAGAAAATTAATAAATATGAAAAATGGGTCTTATGTTTAAGATCAAAACCAACTCAAGAATTAGGTATTATATTAAGGATAGAAGGAGTAACAATAAAGACTTGTTGACACCAAAAAAAACACACACTCTTCGTACCAAAGAGGGGAACACACGCGCGAGATGAAATCCGGGACAAATTAAAGTTCAAAAAATTTGAATGAAATCCTATAAATGACTAAACTCTACAAAAATGAATTAAAAAAATTGTGAAAACTCTAGACCAAAGTTATTCTATATTTTTATTTATAACTTATTAGAATATAGACATTAAGATTTAATTGTTTTCATGTTCCTTTTCCCTTATGTAATAATTTTTAGTTATTGTGAGGGACAATTTCATTACTGAAAATAAAATGATAGCACATAAAAGTGTGTCTGCTGCGGCTAGCCTTTGGGAATAAGCAAATGTGAAACACAAGAACAGAAAGGAACAAAGGAAAAGCAGGAAAAATAAAACGCCCAACAATTATAAAAACAACAAGGAAAAAAAAAATTAAAACTATGAAACACAGAAGTCCAACACACAAACAATTTAAAACACAAAAGTCCAACACACAAACAAACGTGCCGAGGAAGATGAAGAGCTTGCTTGGCTCAATGTTTGGAGGGCAATAATTTTTTTTTTTTTTAAGCGGAAGCACATTTTAAAAATTTGTGATATTTGGGTTGACGATGGAGCAATCTGACTTTCGTATAAAAAGCTATAATAAGTTATGAATAAAAATTAGCTACTTATAATTCATGGCTTTTAAAATATGGAGAGAGAAAATATTAAGAAATTTACTACCTTCTCTCATTCTTATTATAAGCCTCAAATAACTAATTTGTAAATAACAAAAAATCTATTAAAACTAGTTGAAAGCAATAAATAAGTTAAAAATATATTTTTATTTTCAAATATGCTCTTATAATAAATTATCAAAAAATAAAAGAAAATATATGAGATCAACGGGAACTTATAAATAATTTAAAATTATTATATCATGTAAATTGATAATTTTATAATAAGTTACTTTTCTAATCGTTAATCCAAATGGACCTCAAGATCACATGAGCATTTTAAGCAACTTAAGAGAACAACTCCAATTTCCAAACCATGCCACTTCAGAGCAAAGCCTATGGACATCAGTATTCCTGAGGATATTGGAAAAACAATTGGAAACACCCATAAACAACAAGGGATTAATAATTTAGTTAATACATGTCCCCACATGCATTGATACCCACATTCACTAAACATTTTCTCAAATTTGTAGAATAAACCTTTGGCCAAAGAAATCAATTATCAAACTTGTAAATAATGAACTTCTTTAACAAGTTTACACATGCTTGTGTCTTAAAATTTTTCACATACTATAATGTTCTATTTATTATGCATGCTTCTTGTTCTTCATATCTAATACTCTCTTTGGCTATAAATGTAAGACCCATTTTACAGTCAAATTTACGCTACCAAACGGGTCTTACATTTAGGATTGAAGGAGTAGTTTTTAAGATCATTAAAAAAGTATAATTCTGAACAACAGAGCCAAACTTGTTTGAAAAACAAAAAGGGAGGGATTTCTGTGAATCAGAACAAAGAAGTCCTCATAAGAACACCTAATCATCCTATTTTTAGGGCAAACCGCTTCATAAGTATTCAAATCAACATATCAATATATAATATAAAATTTATACCAAGCCATCCTACTCATTAGCTATGAATAATACAGCACATTTCAAACATTAAGTGATAAAGGGAAATTGTCTAGCCAGAAGAAATGGGTCACAAACCCCATTTTATCACAGATCCTCAAAGCACATCCCCATCACAATTTACGTAAAATATAGTAATTCCATCAGCGACTTGACATAGTCAGAAGGCTTGATGTAGACTTAGTTGCTTATGTATCATTCTGAATTTCTCCTTCAGCCTCTTGATCTGCAAAACCACAGTATAGTTTTACATCAGAGTGAATAAGGGAGACAGGAGAATTAGTAACATTTGGTAAAACATTAATGTTTTGTGCAGAAAAGCCAATATCATGTAGGAAATACCCTCTTCAGCTCAATTTCAGTATCTCTCTTCTGCTGGCCCAATGAGTGCCTCAGGTTGGTTATGTCAAAAACATTATCAAGGTCATCTTCAAAAGCAGATTCTAGGTCTTCCCGAAGAAGAGCAGGCAACTTGTCCACAATAGGCATCAAAAGGAAACAGTTGAACTGCAACCGTAGAGTGTCAGGAAAAGATGTTATACATTTAGATGGGCAAAAACTAATTTCTGAACGATATCAGATGCTTCGCCACAATCTAAATCTTTCTTGCTAGTTTCAGGAATAACGGGAAAAAATCAACAAAAATATTGCAAATTCATCGAGTATTCTGTCTTTTTCACAATGTTTAATGTTTTCATTACAGCTTTAAAGTTCAAAATAGGTTTTTATTTTAGAGAAAAGCACCATTATCATATCTTAAAAAATCAGGGGCAGACCAAGTTTCTTAGAAATAAGACAAATATTCCCACAATTATCAATTTATCGACCCTCAATTCCTATGCTCACTTCGGCATGTTCCTGCTTCAAGCAGGTAAAGCGGTCCAAGGCACAAACCTAACAAGAATACAGATGCATAAACAAACGAGCAGGATGAACATCGCAAACCTTTAATTCTGTGGAAGCCAGGAAATACTCTCTTATGCCATGAAATATCTGTTGCACCAAAGCATAAACAATTCTTTCAGATGAAGGGGCAAGCCTTCGGTTCCAAAGTGTACTATCAAGAAGGTCAGCAAGCCTTGTTTCTACAGTCTGACTAGATGCAGTGGAATCAATGCTAGAGGCCAGATGACTGAGCTTTACATCTGGTCGAGGCTTTGTGTCGTCTTTCTCGTGTGTACTTGTTTGTGATAGACCCATTGCTGGAGAATTATTAGAAGCATAGGAATGCTCTGTTCCACCAAATGAATCTAAGAAGTGGCGTAACCCGGCCCGATTCTACATAGTTGACATCAAAGGAGCAATAAAGTTATCAATGCAAACTTACTGAAGCAAACATTTTACCACCAACCATGTGCTCTTGCTTGAGTTAAGATAAAGCAGATTCTCCCTGAAAGGATGAAAGGATGAACCCATAGATCAAGGATACCTTATTGTGGAGAGACCATGAGACATATCGGGTGGTGCTTACCAAGTCCTCCATGCATCTGCAGAGAAGACAAATTAAAAGTGACAATACAGATCTTTTCTCCTTATGGCCAAGACTGTACAGATAAGTTACATGGAAAATGGTGAAAGGGGAAAGCAAACTAGCAGAGCGAACTGATGAGCATATTAAGATGAAACGTTCAGCATTTTATCCTGACCATTTAGTTTGGTTCCTTCACATTTGAAGCAGATCGTGTTACAGCTTTTTGCAAAAAACAAAGTGGTAAAATCCACCATAATGCCATCAAAAGAACAAATCAATGTGAGAATCCTATGCACAACATCTTGTGTGTCCTTTACAAGCAAAATTACGCATCTTCTTATACTTCCTTCTCTTCAGATTTTACCGCCAAAGTTAGCAAGAGTTTACTCACAATCTTTTCATTTGAATGAAAGTTACCGATTTTTACCATGTTGGTGCAATACTTTAAATACATAAACAGCGTGGGTTGAAAAGAAAAAAAAAACGTTGGAGCTGGTCAAAACTGGGAGAAGGAGCTAACTTTTCACGGCATGATTTCTCAGTAGATTCTGCAAAGTTATTGAAGGCAGAAGCAACACGTCTAAGGAACACTTCATGACCACTAAGATACTCGCCGTCTTTCTGTCAGAAAACAAAAACATAAATTGGAAAGGGGTCAAGCTAGATATTTGATGACTCTAAGAAATTTTTTGACAAGGAGGAAATATAGAAAAACAAAATACCTGAAGAAGATACACAGAGATGGGGAGCAATCTCTTAAGTATATGCAGCAGTCTCGAACCCAACTGTGCCCAAAAAGAACATTTTTGTTGGTACACATTAGCATGCTTGCAAATGCACTTGATAGCTCATAGATAGGTGCCACTAGATAAGGTTATTCAACATAGAATCATCCATGAAATAATGGTTAAAGAAACTAGTAAGACGTAGCTACTTTGCCTTAGATGGAGACTGACCCAAGAATTGCAGTAAAAGTACCAAAGGTGTACTCAGATATAATGAAAAGATGCTAGAGTAACTTCACTCTCATAATACTAGTTACCTGATGAAGAAAAGGTTCAAATGTGTCACGAGCCTTTGCAACAGCGATTACACAAGCAGTCCTATTCAGGATCAAAGTTAAAGTAAACTTCAGTACCTGTATTACAAGAAAGAAAACACAGAGGACAACCAGAATACCTAGAGTAATTTGTTCCATCATGGATATCTTCAACTCCACAGGCATTTACAATTTCTTCCCGTGTAATTGGGGGACACTTGGTTCCTCCAACCACAAAGCGAAATTCAGCCATTGCCCGATGATATTGTGCACCACCATAGAGATGCATCGCTGCGTTCTACATACAGTGTTAACTCAGTTTATCAGATGTTTGCTTCACAAGAATATCTTGTGTCCAAAACACAAATATCACATCAAATGAAGCTCATTATTAAAAGGCATCCATAAATAAGCAGAACATCAGCCAAAAGGACAAAAACTAGTAATATTGTCTATAAAGAAAGAAGGCGATAAAATAAATGAGTGATCTGCTTCCTCTAAAAATATAAATCAGGAAGTCAGCAGAAGAAGAAACAAACCGAAAGTGTTGTAACTTACGGGTATTAGCTTGCAAGGGAACTGCACCCCATCAGTACCAACAAATACTGCTCCATTTGTTCGTTCATCCTGTAGTGTTTCACCTGAAGCAGAACCAAAAAGAAAATACATGGTTTCTTTATCAAGCAGAAGGCTATATCCAAAAAAGATAAGCTTTCGTTTCTAGACATCAATATTATTAATTAATATCCACCAATTTTTTTATAGACTTATTTATAGAGCAGTGCTGAGATAATTTACCAAACTTATCAGGAGGCGCAACAACTGTCCCTTTAAGCAACAATGACAACTGAATAATAGAAAGTTATAAAGTCAGGTAGAAATAAATCCCAGAGGACGTTTATTTTCAATATTCAAGCACTATGAATTCCAATAGCTACAGAAAAATGAACAAGCATGCCTATAGCAGTCTGTATAAAATGTTGAAGGGAAAAGCTAATCTTTAGATGTGAGAAATTCAGTAAATTAACAATATAAAGTAGAATAAGAGTTCTTGTACTCCAAAGATGAAACTTTAACAAAGCAGGATTCAAGAGCCCGTTAGATGAATACCTTGGTCAAAAACAGATCATGAAAGGCTCTTCCCTTCTCCTTTAATTTGGCTTCATCCATGGAACTGTATAACATTGGAAGAAAAGATCAAGTGACTAGTGATGATAGAAGCATGAGCACCGAACACAGCAAAAGCTAAAGGTAAAATGACCAGTATCGTCCCCGCCCATTGCAGATCATATAACAAAAAATATTTCTAGTTTCACACAAACCTCAGTTCTTGATTAATATCTTTGAATCTCCTTGTTACACTCTGGTGCTCCTTCTCAAGAAGAGGAATGATCAATGGTACACTATCCATATACCTTGCAAGCACATTCTTTATCATTTAGGCACAGATCATAAAAATTTCTAGACCCATTAACAAAATAAAAATCAAGTCTAATGCATACCTCTTTTGGAGCATTTCTTCCAGGAATGACCTCAGTTTGCTTACACCTATCCTACTTCTTTCTTGCTGCGACAATGGCCTGCCTAACTTCTCCTCCAAAGATGTAACATCTTCGACTTCTCTCAAGCATACCGCCTACATTCATAAGCACAACAGCTCATATTTATGCTATTATGCGGGTTGAGTTCCCAGAGGACATTAATGAAACATTTTTCACTTATACTAACTCAAAATGGACAGTGTTTTAAATCAGTCATAATTTCAACATAGACTCTCTCTATAGTCTTGTCTGGCATTTTATAATAACAGGATGGAAGCTTTCAAATAAGCAACTGCTTTATTCCAAGCCTGATCAACAAAAGAAAAGGAAAAAAAATCCAAAGATTACAAAAGCATAGGCAATATAAATGTATAGCATCAAGTAAGTTCTGAGGAGCCAACTAATACGACATTTTCAATATGAGACAAAAGAGCAAATGAAAATAATGAATTGCCGAAAGGAATGAACCTGTTTGAACTCATCATGGGACCTGTATACTGAATCACTTCCAGAACCAACTCTTCCAGAAGGCACAGATGTGAAAAAGGGAGAATCACCCAGAATGCAGCCATCAAGGGTACATGCAGGTGGTGAAAGGAAAACCTCAACATCTGATGGACGTGCAAATTGAGGTATCCTAGTATCTAGCTTGGTTGAGACAATTACAGTCCTTGACAACTCTGGATCAATCTATAAATAAACCAAAACGGGAACTTACTTTTGGAGCCTTGGAACTCTGTATTTATACAAAAGAAGTGCCCACGCATTACATGGACTAATGCAGCTTGCTATATGTTTCATATTTTATATTGATTGATTTCTACTGAAAACACCATGCACTCTGCAAGCAAAGATATTACGGCCTTAGGGGTACTTTACAAGACAACAGGTATGGAACATGAAGAGGGCACATGCCTGCATTACTACACGCCGTGTAGTAGCATTGCTCCAATCACTACAATCCTCAAGACACAATATAATAAATTCCTTATGCTGCATTTTTGCCCGCACTAAGGACTCCACTGCACGAGCTTGAGCCTGCAATGAATGTTATGAAATCCACCGTTACCAATAAGAACATTGTCCACAAGAAATCTAATGCATATGTTTAAAAAGAATTAAAATTAACCTGTAATGCTCTATTCTTTCGACCTGGAGCAGGAGCAATAAGTCCTGGAGTATCTATGATTGTAAGATTCGGGCAATATTTATATTCCACTTTAATAATTATTTCCTTAGCTGAAAATTGACAAGACTCGTGCTCCAACCTCACATTTTCAGCTTCAATATACGCCTATAAGAACAGCCATACAAGAATAACTTAACATTTACAAAATATTGCAAACAAATGTATGGACGAACATAGATAATCAAAGACTTGCAAAGGGTCCCTAGTTCCTCACATTTATCTACATAGGTCACAAACTCTTCATGAAGCCAAACTTAATCAGCCAGGTGGCTTTTCAAGGAAAACAACACAGTTTATGTTAGTAGAATGGGCTGTTGGGCTTCTTATAAACATAATTAACTTGTGATCTCCGACCCCAATAAGTCAAACAATGAACTATAATAAGCTTGAGTGGTTCACGAGCTGTAACATTTTTTTAGCCATAGGACGCTCAATTTTTTCCTTCATTCCGTTTTGCAGTTCAGTGCAGTGGGGTTCCAACCCCAAAACATGGATCTCACATGAACCAGGCAGGAGCCATGAGGCAAAGAGGCCAAATGCCGTGGACGAACCTCCATTCCTTAGCCTCAGTGACGGAAAAACACAAAACGCTCTTTAAAGGAAAATAAAGCTCAATCATATTTTCAGTTCATATAGCAACGCTCAACCCTATCTGAATTTTACCAACTTCTTTATCTTATTTACATTATATCTTTTATTCTTTGGTTGAATATGCATGCACTTGCAGGTTATCACACACCTAAGATTAGTTACGGATGTTAAATTCTCTACAGTCAGTATTGTATCCAGAACACTATTTCCCACAGTAACCTTCTAATATAGAGTCATATGATAGTTCACGAAAAATTCATGAAAGAAGGTTTTAAAAAAAAAAAAAAAAACGAAAGGACTGGACTTATTTAGCCTGTGGGAAAATTCAAAACACCAGTTGTGGGGGACGGTTTTTCCTTGCCAAGTTCTGCAATTTTACAATGCAGACAACTACAGGCAAAGGGAAGGCGAAAGCTTCGAAGTATCGAAGTACAAAAAAGCAGATATTAAAAAGACCTGAATTTCCATAAGAGACTTCTCTTCGGCCAGAGTAGGGTCAGCATCTGAGACAAGATAACACAGAGGGGACTCACAATCAGGGTCGTACTTCATGTGAAGTGTAATGGGTCGCCTGGTCTTGGTGCCGCCGCCAACATGGTTGAACTGAAAGCCCATGAGGGCTTCGACAAGGGCGCTTTTGCCGTCGGTCTGGTGACCCACCACCAGCACGGCCGGCGCGTCGAACGGTGTCTCGAACTCCTGAGCCAACCCATGAAGCTCATTGTAAGCTTCGTAGAGTCGTGAGTGGTCATCACATTGGGTGGCGCCCAAGCTTCGGTCTCCCTCCATATCCTTCTCTTTCCCAATTGGGATAAGAGACTGTAGAGTGGAGACTATACAGTATTCTGTGATACTGTCTGTCTGTCTGTCTCGTGCCGGGGGAGTGGGGAACGCCAAAAAGGCGGGTAAAATGATGATCATTGGTATTGGTCTATTGGATTATAGTTGAGCTCTTTTTTGAGTTTTTCCCCCGTACATAATAATTAAGCTCCAGGCTTACAAATCATGCAAAAATTATCTGTTGAAAAAGCCGGTCCTGGATTTTGCGGTGACTACTCCTAAATCAAGGGGCCATATGTATTCTAGTAGAAAAAATAACTTAGGTTCAATTTGACTTTTAAATAATTTAGATTAGGTAATACTAGCTCCGGTCCTAATTATAAGAGCTAGTTGACTAATTTGAAGAGATTAAAAAAATAAATTAAATTAGTTATTTGTCGTAAATAGGTGTTGTCTTTCCTAAAATATCCTTACTAATCAAGTGTATTGGCTAGAATTACTATTATTAGAAAGACTACTTTAGAAAAAAATACATAAATATGAGAGACAAAATGGATTGGGGTCTTATATTTAGTATCAAAATAAAATTCAAACAAGGTCTTATATTAAGAACCAAAGGTAGTATAATTTATGTTTAGATTGACTTTTATAAAAATTAATTTGTCAAAATAAAAATTATTTGGATTATAATTGAATAAGTAAGTTTCATTTGTAAAATGACCAAAATGAGTGTAATTTTTATTAAATAATAAAAAATATAAATTTACAAAATATAATAATTTTAAACTATTTTAATAAGAAGAAGCTAAATTTAATGAATCAAATATATTTAAAAAATATAGCTATGTGAAATTTTTAAAACAAATAATATATCATAATCAGATATATCCTACACAATTTATGTAAATATAAAATAAAAATAATATTAAAAATTAAAAATATTATAAAAACTATGTTAAAAATTATTTTTATTTAAGAGAACATAAAGTTATTTATAATATGATAATTTTTTTAGAACATTTTAGTATTAAAAATTTTGAAAATAAAAAAAAATCAGCTTATGAGAGAGAAGAAAAAGAGAGCAAATTTGGTATTCAATTTCCAATAAATGCCTTCAGGACCGGAGACTAGACTAAGCACAAGAATACATAAGCCATAACTCATAAGCGCCTCTTCACCTGCTTAAACCAAAAGGAGGATGGGCCAAAAGCTCAACCAAACGTCTCCTTCAATATGCAAACTAATTTTTTCCATTTATAAATTATTTTTACTTGTTGGACTGCAGCACCAAACACACACTGAATATTTTTATATTTTATGAGATGAAAATTATTTAACAAATTTATTTTGTATAATATAAAATCAATTAAAATAAGATAAGCTAAACACTTATTAGTATTGAGCCTGTGAATTTTTTATTCTCTTGCACATATATTTGAAAGTCCATATCCAAAACTCAATCTTAGCAATTCTTGGAGTCCAACGAGCTAGCCAACAAACAGACCCAACTTATTATTTCGACTCTAATTTGAACCATGACATCTGTTAGTTAATTAGCTACAATTGCAAAAATATTTTTATGCAAGTAAAAATCAAGCTACATCTATACAGGCATTTAATAAAGGTGTAGACTTTCATCTTTCATGTAAAGTCAAGAAGCTACTCTAGTATATGATTTATTAAACTTTTAACTTACCTATGACCTGGACTAAGTTTTGGGAAGGGTAATATAGGTGCTCCCAACAGAAAATCATGATTTAAAATATAAGTCATTTTAACTAATTTATCAAAACTAATAAAAAGTATTTAACTCATTAAATTTATTTCAAATTGAATTTTTTTTCACTTTTATCCATACTAAATAAGATTATAAAGGGGAGAGAAAAATACAAAGATTTACATTTAAACATTAATTACTCTTCAAATGACTTATATTGTGAAATAAAATTTTTTTATACAAATGACTTATATTGTATATTAGGAGTATTTATTACATGCCATAATAAAGGATATTTCGTCATTCCCACGTGTCTTTCAGGCCAGATTTTTAATAGGATACTTTTTTTCCCAGTTTTCTCAAAAACGAACATGGCTTATCATAATAAACGTGTTTTGTTTCCCTGATTATCTTTGGTCACAAGGAAAATTCATAAACCAATGAAAAGATGGGGCGAGTACAAAATTTCAATTATTTTAGGCGAAAAAAAAAATGAAGACAATAGATTTGTGGCCATTATAAGGAGAGACACAGCCAAGCAGGTTCATCATCAGAAGACATGGAAGGATCTTCCAAAACCCAGAAACCTCATGCTCTTCTGATCCCATTTCCAACACAAGGTCACATAAACCCATTTCTGAAACTAGCAAAAATCCTTCACGCAAGAGGCTTTCACATTACCTTTGTGAACACTGAGTTCAACCACAAGCGCTTGCTCAATTCCAGAGGCTCTGATGCTTTCAATGGCTTCACAGATTTCTGCTTTGAAACAATCCCTGATGGTCTGCCTCTCACTACCATGGACGCAACACAGAATATCCCTGCTCTCTGTGAATCCACCGACAAGCACTGTCTCGGTCCTTTCTTCCACCTTGTTGAAAAGATGCTTCATGACGATGATGTTCCTCCAGTTTCTTGCATAGTCTCTGATGGAATCATGTCCTTCACCATTAGAGCTTCTCAACATTTTGGGATCCCTAATGTCGCTTTTTGGACTCACAGTGCTTGTGCCTTCATGAGCTTCAGAGAATGCAAGAATCTCAAGGAAAAGGGTCTAACACCACTTAAAGGTAAGCTAGCTGTTTTTGTTTTGATCTGATCTTTCTTTAAGATTTATAATATAATCCCTCAGGAGTTGATAATAAGACTATTGAGTGGTACCTCAGAAATTTGAGTTGAAGTAGCTAGATGTACATTGAATGGTGAATTTGATACATAAAAAATGGATTGAGGAAAGGGAAAAGGTAGGAAAAAATATTTTTACTCGGCCTTTTGAATGACAGTGGCTTGGAAAAAAAGAGCTTTTTATGAATCTTTACGGGAGAAAGCTTTCTCATTTCCTTTCCCTTCAGCGTATCATAAAGTTGTTGAGTGATTTCACCTTACGTCTTAAAAAAACCTGATCTTTTTTCCAGATGCAAGCTATCTGACAAATGGGTATCTAGACACCAAGATAGATTGGATACCTGGGATGAAGGATGTAAAACTAAGGGACCTTCCTGGGATATATAGGACCACAGATCCAAATGATTTTCTTCTGGACTTTGTTCCACAACAGATTGAGGCAGCCTCAAAAGCTTCTGCTCTCATGCTTCCCACTTTTGATGCCTTGGAACCTCAAGTCTTAAACGCTCTTTCTTCAATGTACCCACAACTTTACACAATTGGCCCACTTGACTTGCTCCTTCACAACCAAACACCAAACTCATCAGACAACAACTGTGAGTCCATCAAATGCAATCTGTGGAAAGAAGAGTCAGAGTGTCTGAAATGGCTTGATTCAAAGAAACCCAGTTCAGTTCTATACGTGAACTTTGGTAGTGTCATAGTCATGAGACCTGAACAAGTCATTGAATTAGCATGGGGCCTAGAAAACAGCAAGCAGAGTTTCATATGGGTGATAAGGGGTGATTTGGTAGCTAATGGTAAAGCCATTCTGCCACAAGAAATCACAGAGGAAATCAAAGAGAGGAGTCTGATTCTGGGTTGGTGTCCACAAGAGGAAGTTCTGAAGCACCCAGCAATAGGAGGGTTTCTGACTCACTGTGGTTGGAACTCAACAATTGAGAGCATAAGCAATGGTGTGCCTATGATATGCTGTCCTTTTTTCAATGACCAAATGTTGCATCGCAGGTTTGTAAGCAGGGAGTGGGGTTGTGGGATGGAGATGGAGAGCGAGGAGTTGAAGAGAGATGAAGTGAAAAGGCTTGTGAGGGAATTGATGGAAGGTGAAAAGGGTGTGAAGCTGAGGCATCAAGCCAGAAAGTGGAAGAAAATGGCTCAAGAAGCTACACAAGCTGGTGGGTCTTCGTCCTTGAATATGGACAAGTTAGTGAATGAGGTTCTGCTTTCCAAGAGTTAGGCGCTTAAGGGAACCCATCAGATATTGCAGATGATCTTTTTTATTTTGTCGGGGTCAAGGCATGTTGCATCGGAGTCAAAAGATTTTAAATGTTTCATATGTTATGTTCAAACGTTTTTTTTTTTTAAATAACAAAACATGTTATGTTCAAATGTTATATAGATAGATTTTTGAATACTCGATGTAATCGTAAGCGCCCAAGTAAAAAGGTGGAGTGCATTGTTATCTAATTGACTTCTTGAGGTAGAAAATTTGTTGCCTTGTATAGTTGCACAAAATATGGAGATAGGCCAGCAAAGGATATTCCCATAATTCCCATAAATGAAACTAAAATAGCTTTCATTTCGTGGAGATCATGAAAATTATGTTCATCTCGTGGCGATCATCAACCCTTGGCATACATTTGTTTGTAATTTCTCCCTCTACTCTGACCTACACGTAGCGATTTCGAATTGTAATCGAAACTAGTTGGGTTGAAGATCAAGGGGAAAAAATATATACGATGTCCTCAATGGGACAAGAGAAGATTTTATGCGTTAATTTGAGCATGCGGGCAACTATACTCCTTCCATCCCATTTTATAAGCAACAATTATTATCTCCTCATTGTCCTTAAATATAAGCAACATGTGTGAGTTATCTTAAATTTTTATAACGAATTTTCTATTTTATCCTCATTAATTATTTATTTTAATACTCAATATATTTATTATCTCATTTTTCAAACCATCATCTTTCCATCACACATTCTCTCTCTCCCTATAAATAAAGGTGTTTTAGTGAAAGAACTTCTAATTTTTATACATTTATTGTCTTTAACTAATTTTAACTAATCTTTTATCTACGTGGTGAGCTCCAATGTTGCTTATAAAAAGGGACGGAGTGAGTATAAGATTATCAAGAGCACTTGTTTTGTTTGCACTGAGCCCTTTGAACCACAAATATGTATTATTTTTAAAGAATATATATCTCGTAATGATAAGGCTTTTGGGGGCTCGAAGAATGTGGATGTAGCACCAAAGAAACAGGGTTCTTGCTTCTTTACAAAAAACGAATGGAGGTAATATTCAATCTAGTAGCGTATAGAAGTCTACTGATTCATTGTAATTTTCAACAACGAATGAGATATAAGATGAAGCTCATAGTGCTAGAGATAGCTTTTCGGTGCACCTAATGAAACAGCTATTTACACGGCACATGAATGACCTCGTTCGTGAAAGCTAGGGGAATAATGATTTCTCAGAAATCAGGATACTAAAGTATGCACAGGTACAACCAACATGTTTGAAACGGTAGAGTTTTTCAGCAGCAAAAGAAACTAAGGATTTCAGAGGATAGGATATGAGAATGTGCAATATTACCTTCTGACAGCAAATATAGGGCTTTCAATCATGGAGATAGCTTCTCCGAACAAAGTTCAGCAAAAGCTGGTAGCCTGTTTTTAGTGGAGGGGCCGTAGAGAACGCTGGAAATATAAGCATCAACATGTTCCCTTGAGGGAGAATTATTAGGTGAAGCGTGTGGAACAACAAGCACAATGTTATCATCCAGGGGTGACCAGTCATTGGTGTGAGAATTGGCTAAGGCATGGTCAGGTTCAGGTTTAACAGGCGAAGCTGGTTTGGATGTTTTAACCGCTTCTTCAGATACAGCTGCACCCTGGAAGTGACGAAAAGTGCGGCTCCTTGGACCACATGCGCTTGATCCTGTACCAGAAGATGACTTGCTTGCATGTGCCTACACAGAATAAGAAACATTCAGTTAGCTTTCCTTTTTAGCCACCAGCATTTGAACCCCGTTACAGAACAGTTAACCATGAAGTGAACCACAAAGGCACACTAGTCAGCTGGTAAAATGTTCAATTACCTGATTCACCGTTTATTATGTTACAAGACAATATATTTGTATACCTCAGATTTGTGAGCGCTGGAAAGACGAACAGGACGCTGCTCTTTTCCGTTTGCAAACTGCATTATGTCAATCCGGCAAAGTAAACAACTGTATGCCAAGCTATCAAATTCTATCGCCTAACACAGTTGATGAAGGACAGGGAAAGAATGGAGGGGAGAGAATGACTGTAAAGTTCTTAATATTATTCAGCTCATCAAACGGTTTATCATCAAAATAATCTCAGGGCTATTTATAGAGGCCTAAATACAATTATAAACCTAACTTAAACTTCAAGTAAAAGAAGGCATAAAATAGGAAATAATCTACGAAAGCGTAATAGGAAAGAGAATCAAGTCATAATAATGAATTAACAAAACATTAATTGAATCCTTCCTAATCATCTCATTATTTATTTTCCCATCAACAGTTTAATCCTTGCCGATCACTTTTCAAGATCTTTCAAATACATCATGTGAATTAAACCCGAAAAACAATGAAAAGCCACCATAAAAGAGTCTAGCATCATAATGGTCACCCCTGAGCGAAAAAGCAAAAGACAATATAAAATATAAATAAAAGATAAAAAAGGTCAATGAGGAAAATCTCGTTGACTAAGAAAGATAGGCAGCTTGAATGATTCTTCTATTACAAATTACAAATTCGGAAGAAGCTGGCAAAAAAAAAAAATTCGGAAGAAGATTTAAATAAAATGCAATTCAGCACTAACACTTGGACGGATGAATTTAACTCGTCTCTTTTTGGGATAAAAATTTCTTTCTGCCCAACTTTTGTACTCCAGAATTCAAACAATTCAAACAATTTGCCACAAATTTTCAGGCTATATCCTATGCAAACAGGCATTACCCAAGCTCGACAGCTCCTAAAATGATTATATACTTGAGAAAAAGTATGCTTCTGATCATAATCACAGTCACACGGTATGACTAAAAAGGTATATTTCATATTCTTTTACTCAATGTTTAACTTTCCAAGTTAACTATCTTCCAAATTAACCTGAACGTTCACGTAATCTAGACCATTTTATATCTATTATCACATGATAACCGAGTCTAAATTACTTTCAAATGACTCCCTCAGGACCCATTTTGAACAAAAACATCAAATGTTAACTAGGGCGGCCTTTTTTTTTTTGGGTGACACAGGGCAGCTTTATATTGCCGGTTCTCCAATCCATAATTCAGTATTTTTTTTTTTTTTGAGCTGACCATAATTCAGTATTATTTTAATTCATTTCCCTCTAATATTTCAGTTTTTAAATTCAGTAATTTAAGCCACGAGAAAAAAAATTTCGTTCTTTGAAGTTTCTTATACGAGGCATGCCAATAAATAAACACCCCGAAGGAGTAGCAAATAGTTAAAAAATAGTAAACTATAAGGAAAAACCTGAGGCCTTGTTAGATTAGCTTATGGCGCGAACCAACCTTCTTCGTGACGTCCGTCAAGAGCCTTTTCCCTCCAGACGATGTTAGCTTCACCTGGATGTCGTCCATCACAAGAACTTCTTCTTCTGCCTTTACCGGTGTTCCGTACACAGGTGACGACATCAATGGCATCATCTCCAAATTCTCAATTGAAGACAGGGGCGAAACCGGCAACCTATTTCGAGAGCCACAGCTACTACTCCCTGAACTGCTACTGTTATATTGCTGCAGTAATGCAGACCTGTTCTTGCGGGAGCCAATCGTCGGAGAGGTGAAAGACTCACCAGAAGGCGAGACCCTACCGGATATCGGAGATCCGGCGAGTAAGTAACGCGCAAGCGGAGAGTTAATGTCAAGATTCTCAGCGTACGATTGAAAGGTTGGACTCAATGCCGTCGATTGATGAAAGCGTCTACTTCCAATAAACATCGGATCCTCCATCTCTAATTTCATCGGTGAAATATTCTCATTCGAAGCCTTCGCCTTCGGAATCTTGATCTTGGAATTACCGCGAGATTTCTCCATTGACTATTCGCGGATTCCAGACAAAGAATCAGAAGCTATCAAATTGAAACATCTTGACCGATCGAACTTTTGACAGAAAAAAGAAGAAATCTTAGTCCGCGTATATCAGTTTCAACCACCGATTTCGCTGTACGAATTCATCAATGCAACGCAATACGGTCAAATCTCAGCAGAAATCAAAGTAAAAAAGGAAAATCAGAATAAGCAGGGAAAGCGAACAAAGAATTTACCCGCACGAAATCGGAGAGTCGGAGATGCGCGGAAGAAAAATCCTGTCCTTTTCTTCAGTATCTGAATCCTTCGTGGACACAGAGACCTGAGCTTATATTTATACTCTTAGGAAGTAGTTAAGTGAGATAAGTGTTTACTCTACATTGATCTTCCGTAACAGAGAAGCCTCTCAATCGTCAAGTTGAAACCTGGCGCCAAAAGTGGTATTTGTCATTTAATATCCGCTTGTTCGTCTTCTAGGTTCATGTGGCTGTTTGTTTCTGCGTCTCGCACAATGAAAATGCCAGCTTCGTTCTCTATTGCTTCTTCCCTTTGCTGCCAGAGACTGCCGATGTACGGCAGTTTCTCCTTAGCCTGGCGACTTTCCGATTGCCTTCCTTTCTATACCTGATGATTTTTGGTTTTTTTTTTTTTGTTTTGGCCATGACATGAAAGTTATATTTCAGAATTCAATTAATCTGAAAAATATTAAATTTAAGCATAAAATATTCTAACCTTCTTTATATTTTGACTTAATTATAAAAAAAATTTCTCTATTTTAAAATCATATAATTAAGTCTATTAAAAATATTTCAAAAATATTTTTTTAATTAAAATTTATGTTAGAAAGACAGTCATTTACCATTTTACTCTTCATCATACTAAATTCCTAATTTTGATTAAAGTTGTTTTGAAGAATATTTCAAAGTTTTTTTTCTTAATTTTATTTTTTATTTTTAAAAATTCTTGCTTTTTTAATGTTTTTGGGATAAAAAATTAAATGACTTGATTAATGTAGACCTAAAAAATTTTGATTAATTCTTTAAATAAATTTATAATTAAGTAAATATGTTTATAAATATCTGTAAAAAAATTTTGTTTGAAAATTCTAAATATTAAATTTAAATTATTTATATAATCTGTCAAACTTGAATCATTTATATTATATGATAAAAAATACATTTAAAATTTTTTAGCCATTTAAAAAAACCTTAATAAATATATTTGAATTGACGTGATGAAAATTTAAAATTATAAAATTTTATAATATAATCAAAATTAATAAATTTTATGACATATTAGATGTTTTTGAAAATAGATCTATTAAAATAATTTTTGATTGTATAAAAAAGTATTCTTTGAAAAAATATAAATGTTTGGCATAAAACCAAATATAAATGCTTAAATAATTCTTACGTTAGTGAGAGTATTTTAGTCAAAATAAAAGTTCATGAGTCAAACTTAACAGTGATCTAACATTTGAATGGATGGAAATTAAAAGTTAAATATATAAGAGAGGTTTGTGTGACATATGTATTAATTTCAAGGAAGGTTCATATATGTTTTCAAAATAAAAAAAAGATTTCTGTAATTTTAATGATTTCTTTTTTTGGCCATTTACGATTTCAATCCTTAAGTGTAAGTTTTTCATATTTGCATAAGGTATTGTTAATGCTTATGAAGGTTATCTAATCTTCTATTACATTAAGTCAGAGGAATTATAAATGTATGTGAATTTTATTACAAAAATATATTTACTGAAATATCCTTGTATATCTACTTACAATTATAATTGATTTAACTTACATTTTAAAAAATTGAACTTGGCTTTTATTCTTTCTAGCTCTAAATGTAGGACTTAAATCATTAATTTATTGATATTAAAAATTTAATTAAGCTAATTATTTATAAAAAATATGTGTTAATTTTTCTAAAACACCCTCTATAATCATTAGTTTCATTAATAAAAACCATTTTATCTATGTAATGAATGGGGATTGTTTGAGAAAAAATTTATAAATTTACCCCCAAAAACAAAGACTAAAACACACCCCCTTAACCAGCTCTTATGTTTAAAATAAAAGAGTAAGCAAATTCGAATGTTACAGTCTCATTTTTTTTTTTGGGTGAACAATGTTATAGTACAAACTGAAAAAAGAGCCATAACTTTTACTTCGATTTACGTGAAAGAATTTTTTATCAAACTCCTAGTCGGAAAAAACTACAATTACCTTAAACTTTCAATAAGCCAAACTCTTCAGGCAGAAAATAAATAAAAGAAAAAAAGGAAAAAGCTAAAAGCTAACACCAAAAAGCTTGAATTGGGGCAAGTCCAGAAATTGAGGCATTTACAACATCATGCTGTTCAAGGCAGCGAAATGGATTTAGAACCTTTTAACATTGCCACTTTGCCACCATACCATGAAGAATGAAATCCATGACAACGATGAAAACCCACAAACAATAAAAGCCTAATCATCGACAACAAACTGAAGTCTATACATGAGGTTTTATTGAACAAACACAAACATCTATACACAAATCCAAACACGAAATGTCCCTGGTTCCCATAATGAACCTACAATCTTTTGAGTCACTAGACTCCCTTCAAACACCATCAAGTGCGTTCTTGAGATTCCCTCCAAAGTATAACATGAGGTCGCCACCATGGACCCTGCCCTCTGGCACGTTAAAATCAAGACCTTTCTTCACACCACTACAACCAACAGCAGCAACATGCCCATTTCTACTTTCCTCTGGCTTCTTGGCAGTCAAGAAGCTTAAATAAGATGGTGTTTTCATTGAGAGTGGAACCAAGACCTCTTCTGGTATAAGATGCTGCCTTTTAGCAGGTTTTTCCATGGAATCATAGCAATCAGACACAACACTTACCCCTGAAGATGAATTGTTGTTGTCAATACTGCTGCAGGCAGCAGAAGGTACAAGACCATGGAAGAGTCCCGGTGCAATAAGACTTCCCTTGCCAGTTTCACGCTCTTGCATCATGCTGCTGTGAGCTGCACAGAGACCACTCTTACCCCTTGCAAATTTCTCACATTTTCCTTCTCCCCAGTTGCATCGCTTTCCTCCACCATGAGCCTTGCAGAAATCTGTGCTACCTTGTGCACTCTTTCCACACCCACCAAACTTGCACCGTTTCCCACCGCCATGCCTGACACAACAATCAGTACGGCCTCGTGCACTCTTGGTGCAGCCTGGCACAGCACACCTCTTTCCACCACCATGAGCGACACAAAAGTTCGTGCCTCCATGTACACTCTTAGGACATATACCGCCACCATTGAAGAGGCAGCGTTTGCCTCCACCATGTGCCTTGCACAATGGGGTGCTCCCTTCAGCACCTTTGGTACAACCTTGAAAAGTGCAACGCTTTCCACCACCATGTGCCTTGCAAAACATAGTGCTCCCTTGTGCACCCTTAGCGCATCCTTGGTACTGGCAACGGCGTCCACCCCCATGAGAGATGCACAGGCCAGCCTGCCCTTCAGCACTCCTGGTGCAGCCTTCGACCTTACATCTCTTACCTCCTCCATGCCTGATGCAAAGTCCTGATTTACCTCTTGCAGCCTTAGTGCACCCACCTGGATACCCACAACGTCTGCCACCACCATGTGCAATGCAAAAATCCGTCTTTCCTTCAGCGCTTTTAGTGCACCCAAGATGTTGGCATCTCCTCCCTCCACCGTGGGCCTTACAGTAAGCAGTGCGGCTCTCAGCACCCTTGTTGCACCCTGGTTTCTGACATCTCTGACCACCCCCATGTCCAATACAAAGGCCTGAAGCACCTCGTGCGCCCTTTGCACAGCCAAAAAATTTGCATCTTTTTGGATTGCTCATTCGGTTGTCTGAAGCCATCATTGTGGCCTGGGGTTTGCATATGGTGCCAATGGAGTATCCTGTGCCATTGGAAGGTTCCTGGCAAAACTGAGTTTGTGTTCCTAGAATTTGCAGTTCCTGTGTCTGCACTGAAGTTTTGGCATTGTCCATGCTTGGAGCCAAAAGAAGTGATGGCATGTAGCCACCTGATTTCTTTGCTGAGGTAGAACCCTCGTCAACAACAGGTATCATAGAATAATTATTTTCAGCAGATGCCTGGCTCGAAAGACATGGCACATTTACATCAGTCTCAGTTGAGCATGAGTAGTCCATCACACTAGACGCATCATTAGTTCCTCCGGAAAGACCAAGTTGCAAGATTGAATCACACTCCGATGGCATATGCTGCGGAAAATGGGTGGTCAATTCTTTCTTCTTATTAAGCCCCGCATTGTAGATGTCATCATGATATGCCCTCGGTGGTGGGCCCAATCCCAGAACCAATCTGCAACCATCGTCAGAAGCATTGGAAAGCTTCGTCCCAAGATTGCTCTCAGTGTGCCTGTAATTGGTTGTATTGTTTTTTCCCAACGTAAGGCCATTCAAACATAATGCAGTATCACCAAAGTTATCATTTTTCCCAAGTTCAGCATCAAAAGGACACAATAAAGCTGTCTTGTTAAGATCCATTATCCAGATGTTGTGCACTATAACTACAAAAGGTTGAACTAAGCAGAACACTTCACCACATACTACTTCGATACCAAGGTCTACATACACATCAGAAATGCATGACTAGGAAGAAATTCCAATCTAGAAGCTCCCCCACTTACAAAACCTGACGTATCTGATCTGTCCATTTTCACTGTACTCTAGGAGAAGGTTGCACAAATCTTTCACCGAAGCCAATACCAACAAAAGTATCTTATAACGTCTCCTGGAAAGAAACCTTTAGCAAGAGTGCTCAACAGTGATGTAAAGAGTTCGCTGGAGCTTCCAATGCTCCTTTTGGACAAATCATTGAGCTTCATCAACCCTGACAAAGAAACAAGGCAACGCACTTTCAGGAAACCTTTTTTTTGTGTTTTTTCACCGAAGTACTTTCAGAAGACTTGATTAAAATCTGAAGCGATAGAAGATTCATCATTTTTTAACTCAAACCATTCATCCACATAAACCTTGGTTCCAAGGAAGAGAAATCAGCTCATGAAAATCAAAGAAAAAGGAAAAATCAAGTCATTGTCACAAGAGCTCAGGCATCAATAGAAGAGAAGGATTACTGAATGACACGTTGCAACAGATGCAAGTTCACACACAATCGGCGGGAGTGTAAGTGGACATACTAAATTATTATGACTGAAGACAAAGAACAAATGAGAGTTATGCAGAGAGAGAATTATCATTAACGATCATCATGAGCAAAAAGAATCATAACTAAATCCCCCCCCCCCGGGGTTTTTTTTTTTTGGGGGGGGGGGGACTGCACATGTAAAGAGTAATATAGCAATTTAGCTAGCAATTTTGAAGCCCTAAACTATACTTTGATGCTACACCATAAGAAAAAGAATGCTGCAGGATTGGTTCAACAATCATAAGAAATACTGGTTAATGAAGAGTCATTAACAGAATCAAAATGAAGAAACAAATCAGAAACGAATACCAAATTAAGATTTCCAAAGAGTATAATGTCATTCATAAAAATCCAATTGAAGACATCTTGAATTCCAGTAACAAGAGGTGAAAAGAAATATGATTTTCTTTCCAGGATTCGTAATAAACTTCTCGGTGGGGAGAAATTGTTGTCAAATGTCAAAGAAAAGAATTTTGCCTTATGAGATAATTTTGCTCAAAACAGAATACAGAAAAAAAGCAATTTAAAGATTCCCCCCCCCCCCAAAAAGAAAGATGGTGCAAATATTACTTTGATGTGAAACAGAACCAAAATGAAAAACGAAATAAACCAATAAAAAAAGGATAAAAATGGGAAAATAAAAATATAAGAAAGAAGTACTCTGACCTGCCTTAATTTAACAGTAGGATCCATGGCCACTGAATTTATATGGAACTCCAAAGTCATGAAGTCCCTTCAGTGTACGAACTAAATGGGAATTTTCCTACTGAAACCAATTTTGCAAGTATACCGGAGAATGTCAATACCTCCCACACATAAATTATCCGTCCCACAGATTAAAAACTGCACATGAATAAGGTATTAGAAGCTCATAAATCTTTCTTATTTCCTAAATTCTCTTCTGTCCAGACATAAAATCTCCATAAACTATGACCCCAATCAAAAGGCTAGTGAAGAAACGAAGATTTACTCCTGCATAAAATTTGAGCATATAAAGTAATTCAAGCCTCAAACTAGGCAGTAATGGCAAATACGGCTTCCTACTAGACCAGAATAACCAACAAAACATACTACATCGTTTTCAAATACTCAATCACTATACACTCAATAAAAAACAAGCTAAATTGCCAGTAAATAGTCACTACCTTCATAATAATACAAACAAATCAACTTTTGAAAAAAAAATTTAAAAAAAAAAAGCAACACAGAATTTAGTTGCAAGAAATAGAACAGCAGATCAACGCAAATTAGAGAAAATTCGCAAATTTTCGGGAGCCTTAGCTTGAAAAAAATTGAAGATAATTGATTGAAAATGAAAAATACTACGTGGATGTTTAAAAGGAGGGAACATCAGATCCATGTTATTCATTGAATTCATTGCTTGCTTACTCATAATACTGAAGGTACCAAATAACCAGATCAAAAACTACTGCTTCCTTTAGGGGGGGGGGGGGAGAAAACAATCTATAACCCGACTAGATACCAACAAAAGAAAAAGAGCACAACTTCCGGTGAAAAAATAACAGCCCAAGTTCAACTGACAGCCGAAAGAACATCGAAACCAAAACCATACCCCTGAAGTTTTAAAACCAGCACAACAATCACAGTGAACGGAAGCAGTAGCAAAAGAAGAACTAAGGACTAAATGAAACCACCAAGGTGAGTGAAATTACAACACGAAAAGGAAACAACAGAGCAAAAACATCGCAGCATATAATGAAAAACTTCAGGGTATGAAACAATCAGCTTACGGAAACACAAATAGAGACTGAATTATCAGGCGAAAGAGCAAAATCAAAAGAGATGCTGTGTCAATTATATATATAGTTAGATTTCTCAAAAGGCCTACCGGATCTAGCAGCAACGAGAGATGGGAGGAGAAGGAGGAAGGAGAAGAATATAATTACGCAACAAGGGCCAGAGCAAAATGAGAACCAGGGGCGGCTCTGTTTATTTATTTTCGATTTTTACTTTTAATTTAAAAAATATATATATAATTGATGCCCTGCGAAGCTGAAAAAAATCAATGGATCGTGTGAGATACCGAAAACGGGCAAAAGAGTAAGAACGAGCTAGCTTCACATGCTCACCGGGGGCAATGGTTGGCCCTTATGCGAAAAAGGATGTCGGTAAAATCTCAGAATTACCCTTGATGAGAACGGTATGTGTGGAAGCTGGGAAGGGTGAATTCGTCTTTTTGCGTCCGCCCATCTTTCATTAGTGGGCATGACGGAAAGATTTTAGTGGCTGAGGCAGGAGTTGTCGTGGCGCGCTCGTGTCGCCCCCATTAAAGAACAAAAAGTTGGAGAGCAGAATAACCTGCGGTAATCGAATTAAGACATTAATCATGACCGTCAAATTTGATTAATTATATAAGTCAATGATCATTGAGTGTAAGAATCAGCGGGTTAAATTTATAGAGTCGAGGTTGCCGTAGAGGATTGGAAGCACTAATAGGAGCGTGGTTGGGCGATCTGATAGAGACATGGTGACGCAATCATTAACGTCGGCTTCGTTTGCGACACCCAGGTCCAAATATTAGCCACTCGATCATTTTTTTAAAAAAAAAGAATTATAGACCTTTTGGGCCAAAGGAAAAAAAAATGAAATTTATACATTTATTCGCAAAAATTAATATGCCACTATATTTATCACATTTTAAATGAAATTTTTAGAGTATAAATATATAAACTGTAAATTTTCTTGTTGTAGGGTTTGATTATTATTCATAATATAGTTTTGAAATTTGAATGATAAATATACACAAATTCAAAAAAAAAGTAAAAGTATAATATTTGTTTACAGAAAAAAAAAATAAACATAATAAATTTTCACAGTTCAAAATTCTCGTACCCCACCCATACGAATTTCTTTGGTCATAATTCATGGCATTGATTACAAAACTCAACTATTTATATAAATTAGATTAAGATTTGCTAAAAGACAAATTTAGATCTTTCGTAAGTAACGACCACACAATGCATTAAAAAAATTAAAATAACAACTGATAAAGCTAACCTTGTAAATATAGTCGCGCCATTCTCTCTAGATTGTGTAAAAGTTAATGTTTTTTCTTGAAAAATGAAGTCCTGGATTATGAGATAATTAATACTCATCCCATAATGTAAAATTTAATTAACTAATTTGAATAAATTAATGGTGTTAGTTAAATTAGTTAACATGATACTACTCCCTTATTGATATAAGAGCTAGTTGACTAATTTGAGTAGATTAAAAAAGTTTGTTGAGTTACTTATTTATAATAAATAATTTTTGTCTTCTTTAAAATACACTTATTAATCATATGTATTAGTTAGAACTATCATTTGATGAAACTTTTAATATGTGCAACTATTACAATGATTACTTTGAAAAAAAATAAATAAATATTATAGACAAAGTAGATTGGGGTCTTATATTTAGAACCAAATTAAAATTCAAACTAACTCTTATATTAAGGACCAGAGGTAGTATGTTCTTTTTCTAAAACACCTTAATTATCTTTTTTAATTTTCTCTCTCCCTCTCCTTACTTAATTATTGCTGAGAGAATATTAATATAGTTATGTCAAGAAAAATTGATAAATATATTAAATAAGTTTTATATATAAGACTAATATTAACTCTCAAGTTAGATAATACTCCTCTTATCCTATCTATAAAGCACTTTCATCATGTTTCATATAGACCAAGAAAAATCTTAAATTTCATTAACTATCATTTAAAATTTAATAACTTTTCAATTTTATTCTTATTTAATATTCATTATACCTTATGTAAATAAAGTCAATATAATAATAAATAAAAGATAAAATTATATATTCATACAAAAAATTTGTATCAGTATCTTATAAATAGAACTAAAACATATGTTCTTTCTCCTATGTATAAATAGGATTAGAAAAGTACGCTAACAACGGGAGAAGTAGTTAGAAAGAGCACCCGACATGTACATTTTCATGTCATTGGCGACAGAACACAATAGTACTGGACAGCTAATAATAATAAGAATCCATGTATTGGATTCTTCATGTGATGCTGCTTTCGAGACAGATGTGCTGCCGATGAACAAGTTGCCAACAGATTCCAAATTCTGCTTCTAATTATCATTACTCGATTAATAATTAATAGAGGAGATGAACCTGCGTCAATAATTGTACCTTATGCTTGCATTAAATACGTACGGAGTAACGTTGGGGAAAAAAATGCATACGGGGCAACATCAAATATAGTAACTGATTGATATCCTTAACGTTGGCAAAATATATACACACACGCAAATGGGGTGACATCAAATACACTCCTCCAGTCTTTAAGATAGGATCTAATTATTGAGTTGGTTTTGATCCTAAATATAAAACTCATTTCTCATATTTATCAGTTTTTTCTAAATTACCCCTATAGATACTCTTTCAACTATAATCAAGTAGAAGAGGGAGATGGGGTATTAAGAAAGATAATTATGGTGTTTTAGGACAAATATGTCACATTTTTTATAATTAACTAACTTACCTAACTTCCTTAATCTAATCAAATTATTTAAATGGGTTTTATATTAAGGACCGGAGAAGTAATTGATATCCTTAACTTTTAACTGATATGCTGTTTTACCAACGGGCGTGATGTCATTTTATAATACTCCTCCGGTCCTTAATATAGGACCCAATTGTTGAGTTGGTTTTGATCCTAAATATATGACCCATTTTTCATATTTATCAGTTTTCTCTAAATTACCCCTATAGATGCTCTCTCAACCATAATCAAGTGGAAGTGGGAGAGGGGGTATTAAGAAAGATGATTATGGTGTTTTAGGAAAAATGTGTCAATTTTCTTATAATTAACTAACTTACCTAACTTCCTTAATCTAATCAAATTAGTTAAATGGGTCTTATATTAAAGATCGGAGGAGTAACATTTAATCGTGTTACAGGGTTTAGAAAATTTTCAATTTATTAAGTGTTTAGAAATCTCTCAAAAACACTTAGTACTAATATGTAAACTGTAACAAAATTCGTTTTAACAGCAGACATAAGTGACACAATCAATTATAGAATTTTTTTGAAATAAGTGTTCTATTTTTAAGATTGATAGAGCAAGTTTTTGTTCAGAAAATTTTCTACAAGAAATCCAACTAAAAGATTTTACATCTCAGTTATTCTACTATTTTCGATTTTTAATATACGAGTTAGTTGACTAATTTAAATATATTAAAAAAATTAGTTCAGTTAGTTATTTGTAATAAATAGGTATTATTTTTTCTAAAATATTTTTACTAATCAAGTGTATTAGTTGTAACTACTATTATTATAAAGATTATCTTAAAAAATATATAAATATGAAAAACGAAGTGAATAAAAAACTTATATTTAAGATCTAAATAAAATTGTACTACTTTTTTGGATCAATTATTTTTTTACAAAAAAATAAGAGTAATTTTCACAGTAAAAGTAAAATCTACCGGAAGTAGTAATCAACCCAACAACAACGCTTGTGCTGCCAGGTGGCGCCGTCCAACAACCTCTTGATCAACGAGAACTCCACGTTTCTCTTTCTTATTGGGCTGTCAACAAAAAAGCACACAACGGCATCGAACCGGTACGCTTATTACCACCCACGCATCCACCTAACCTACCCTTCAAAAGCGGTTCTCTCTCTTCTCTCTGATCACATATATGCGCCTGCTGCCGCGTCTCGAGCGTGTGTGGTCCCCACGCCGTCATATGCGCCGTGGGGGCCGCCGTGGGGGCCACCATGGGGGAAGAAGGACAGAAACCGAGAAACGTGTGGGTAAATCGCATGTGACTGGCACGTGTCGAAAGGGGATTCGTTTTGCGTAATAATTAATAATTATTGGATTGG